CTTCTATCAAGAATTTTCACACCATCCAGGTCAGGTGGATTGGGAGTAGGTATTATTATCTTCATTGTACAGAAAAGGAAACTAACACCCAAGAGGTAAAAGTGATTTGTCCAAAGTCTCTCAGTGAATCTATGAGGGGTCTAAGAATAGAATTCTGAACTCTTCATTCTAACTTTGAACTTCATTCTACTTTCTGTAGGAAATTCAGACAGAAAAAAAAGTGACCTCATATAGATGATCTCACACGTTAATTTTATAATGTGATATCATTATTTTACTACACAGTTAAGTGTTTTCTGAATTTGGATTGGTTGGCTTGGAGCCAATTAACGTCTTCTAATGACTTCCCTCTGCTGGTTATTTCCAATGTATCCTATATATATATACATATATATATCTTGTTTGTACATTGTTCTCATGTTAGCTCCCCTATTGGACTGTGAGCTCTTTGGTAGCTGGGATTATTTTTTGTACTGCTGTTGTCTTTTTCCCCACTTTTCTTTGTATTCCCAGTACTTACCACAGTGCCTGCTCTTTCCTTGATATTCCATCATAGTCCCTTAATAAGAGAACCATACAATCTTGAGATGTAAAAGATCCCAGATGTTATCTAGTCCAACTGCCTTTTTCCCTGACACAGGAATCCCTTCTATAATGTCTCTGATAAGTGATCATTAAGTGTCTGTATATCTCTACTGAAGGGTCACTCACTACCTCAGGAGGAAGACCCCTCAGGTTTGGGACAGATCATAGGAAATTTTTTCTTTCAAGCCAAAGTCTGATTCCTTATAACTTCTGCTCATTGGCTTTAGATTTTCCCTCTGGAGCTACATAGAATAAGTCTCTAATCTGCCATATATAATAGACCTTCAGATACTTGAAGACAGTTATCATGCTCCAAGTCTTCTCTTCCTCAGGCTAATAATATCCACCTCTTTCCACCAATCTTCACATTCCTTTGCTTTAGAAATTCAAAGCATCCATCTTGAAAGCTGAATATGAAACATCCATGACATCATAACCTTTGCTAATAGTGAACAAATCTATGCTTCTACATGCGTACCATGTGGCAATGGATCCTTGTAGGAATTGAGGCAGAGGAGCAAGTTATTTTACTCTGAACCACAATCTTACTCTTTGCTTGTGATAGTTATTCTGTTACCCTAGAGGAAAAGCCTCTCCTAGTTCACATTATTCAGTCCCTATGATACCATTTTATGATGCTACAACTAACCCATTCGTTTTCAACAAACAAAGAAGACTTTGGTGCAAGGCTGTGGTCACAAAGATAAATCATTGCTCAGTAATTCTTTTCGAAGCAGAGAATTCTAAACATGGAGGAGCCATCTCTCCTTAATAGGAGCCAGAAATCCTGTAAGTGCTTGAAATGGCATTCACAAGTCTGAATGGTAAACAGACAAAAACAGGAGCGCACCAGTTGCACAAATGACTTGCTTGTCACAAACTTGTCATTGCAGTAATCTAACATTTCTTTCACAAAGCGAGATGGAAAGTATGGAACAAACAGGCCCTGCTGACGTTTTGGCTCTGCTAAGCCTTCCTCTGAGCTAAAGCATCTGCAGCATCTCCCTGTTCTAGACCCTTTATCTGCTGAAGTTATAGTTGATATTGTACATGTCACAGAAATGTTTGACTATTGCATTAACAAGTTGATGACAAGCAAGTTATTCCTGCCACCGAAATATTCCCATTTTTAGCAGTCTACCATTTTGACCTTCATTTTATTAAACATGTTGGCAATATACCCTAACAGAACAGAACACTAGTGAGACACCAGGATTTTTTGCCCCAGGCCTTGTTCATATCACTACAGCCTCTACAGATATGCAACTGCTGCCTCTCTGTTATATAGGAGCTTTGAAACCCTAGGCGTAGAATTTTCCTGAAGTATGGAAGTTAGCCTGTAGAAGCAAAGTATGGCAAACCATAGAGGACAATCATGGAATGACTTTCTGGGTTTGGGCAAAGTGAGCAATGTAGAAACATGTTTTCTCTGTCTCACAGCCTCTTGTAAGCATTTTAGAATCCTGACAGCAAAGCTATGTGCTAGAAAAATTGAACAGAAATCTTATATGAGCTTAAACAAAATGAATTGGGGCTGCCAATAACCAGTGTTGGCACTCTTCCTTAACCCTCCCCCCACCAAAGGCATCTGGATCCATCTTACCCCAACCATCACAATGCTGTCATCTCTTCTTGTTCCCACGAGTGCTTTGTCTCTTCATCCTCTCCCTTACCTGAAACAGAGATATTTCAGGAAGATCTCTCCGACACCATCTTGCTTCATCTCCGTCATTGACATCAGGCAATGGATTAGCCAGCAGGGAGGGCTCACACACCACAGCAACCACTGAATCTCTTCATTCTGTTTCTGTAAACCTCCTCCTGTCAATTTTGTCAGGAGAAGCCAGCACCCAGACCTTGGCATTCACTAAACGTACTGTTTAATGAACCTTAGACTTATCAGTTGGCAAAACAATAACCAGTAATAAAAGCTTTGTTTATGGGACCCCTGGATATGCCATCCCCCTGGTTCCTTAGGTATATATGTATTAAAGACTTTATTCCTTAAGACACTGGCCATTAAGGAAAACCAAATTTCTGTTCCCTATGGGAGTCAGGTGACCTGCATTCTGTCTAGCTCCATTCTGATTTGTTGCAGACCCAGTTATAATGTCCTTGTCTGTCCCTAGATGAGACCTCTGGCATGAAAAATCTTGCATTATCAGACTTATTTTCTGGATAGTGCCTTAGGAGCTTTTAAATGAAAGGGTTTTGTGTTTTAAAAAGATTATCATTATTCAATGAAAACCCAAAATTCTTGCCAGAACTCTAGTGGGTCTTAACTTTCTTTCAGAGCTGGCAAATTAACTGTAGTACTATATGGCAGATGAAATACTTTGTTCCTATTATCCCCAGTATCTCACAATGCAATCTACACCTCAGCTTCATCAAGACATGTACTTCAGAGGAACAGGTGGGAAGGGTTTACTGGCTATTCTTTATATGAGGAGGACCCCTCTGTTTTACAGTTGCAAGGGTATCATCCAGGAAGAAATGAGGAAAGGACTGCACAAAGCTCCACTTCTGTGTGTGGGCAAGAGAAAACATTAAGAGAAGGTCATATACAACTGCATTTAATGACATGCAACTGAGTTTCTGTTTTAATGTTGGGAGGAGAATGGCATAGTTTTTTCTTCTTCTCCTGCTCCATGGGTTTAAATGGCAAAGAAGGAAGAAGGCTTAATTTACTTTACAAAAAATAGTTCTTTTAAAAGAAATTACTTTAACAAAATTACTGCAAAAGTAGTATCAATATTGTGTGCTCTCTTCATGGTCCCATCCCTGGAGATAGCCAATCAGCTTTTTTTGTTTTGTTTTGTTTTCTGTTTGTTTGTGTTATTGTTTATTTTTTTTTTAAGAGAGGTGAGAGTAGAAATGCCCAACTCATCTCTATGTAGTACTTAATTAGGATCGTAGAATCTTCAAAATGAAAAAGGCCTTAGAAATTTTGGAATTAACTTAGAAAGTTTAGGGATTCTTAAACTGGAGGACAGATTTCAGGTGGTCCATAAACTTGGATGCACAGCAATTACATCTTTATTTCCATTAGCCTGTAACTGAAATTTGACATTCCCTTTTATCATTGTTGTTGATGATGATGATGATTGATATTATTATTTTGAGACTAGATATCCCTATCTCACCTGGGCTTGAAGGGCCTGGCCACTCATGGGTTCATATCTTACCAGTAATCTGTATGGAAGCTGTAACCTGCTCAATTTTTCCTCCATGGGCTATTTCACCCTTCCTTAGGCAACCTGATGACCCTCCATTCCCAGGGGCTTACCAAATTAGTCCTAGACTTAGTGTGGGTACACAATTACCTTTCACCCTACTGCAATTCAGAATCCGTCATGCAGTCCATCAGTCTCAGCTTCCCCCTAGCAAAGATTCCAGGCATGTGACAACATGCCTGACCCATTCATTTCAATTATTAAAAAATATTGTTCCCAGGAGTCCATAGGACCTTTACTAGACCCTCCAAAGAGTCCATGAAGCTAAAAAGGTTAAAAACTACTGATCTAATCTAACTCTTTCATTTTGCTGATGAAGATAGTAGGTTGAGACCAAATATCCCATAGCATATGGGTGACAGAGCCAGTTCTAGAATCTGGCTTTCCTGACTCCTAGGCCAATTCATTTTTCTACTATAGCAAGCTGCCCTCTTCCAATTCACATTTATTATCTCTTTCTTTTAATAAAGTAATTTCCATAATGTTAATTTACCTTCAAATGATTAAGTACTATTAATCAGGACATAACTGATAGGTCCTGTCAGTTTTATTAGTTAGGACTGATATTCTGGGGAATGCACTTTTTAAAAAAATCTTAGAGCTATTTCTTCCTCAGTCACATTTTTATTTCACTGGTTCTCTGAATTTTTCTTATTTCCAAACAAATTTTCTTCCCTTGCCAGCAGTAAAAAAGAGAGAGAGAGAGAGAGAGAGAGAAAGAAAAAAAGTGGCTTGCTATATTTTTTGTTTAGTTAGTTTATTTAGTTTAGTACCTGAAAAACATGTTTTGGTTTTGGGCTTTCTACTGGGCCTATTTCTTTAACGGAAATTCATTTAAGTAGGTCATATTATAGCATTCTTGGATATTTTTTAAAAGCCTTTTTATCAGATTAGAAGGAGTCTGTTTTTTATTCCCACTTTAGTCATTTTGAGCTGGTCCTTGTAATTGTTAGTTTCATGAAAACCGTTGATTAAGTCAAAACATCAACTTTTTTATTTGTTTGTTTTGGTTCTTCTTGGCTAATGCAAGGGGAAAAAAGCATTTACCTTTTTCAGTTATGGTAATTATATACTCTGTTTTTCATTTATGCAAAACTTAATTTGTATGGGGTTTTTTGTTTCTTTTCTCTCCTTATTTTTGCATTTTCTAAACATCTGTACCATGGCTGATGGCGAGAGCAGCAGAGGCTGGCATTTTCCCCCCACATTGCGAGAGAAAGAGAGTTGGCTGGAATGAAACCTTGCTTTCCATATGGTCAACTTGAAATGCAGCATTGAAAAGGTATCGTTTCATTTTCTTTCCTGAAGCCAGAGGTGAAAACCACAAGCAAACAGAAATATAGGTGCCAAACCACCTGTTGATTTGCACTAGGGGGGAAGAAAAGCCCTTGGCAACACATTTTTCACCTTATCTAGCTGAAAAGGCTAAATGGTTATCTGTGTCTCCATAGCATCTGTCTATATACAAACATCAGCTATATAAGCTGATACATTAGCCCCTTACCTAGGAAGACCCTTCCTTAGTTAATAAGTGAAATGCTCACTCAGTACAAGACTGAGACCCTATTTACTCCTTTCCCAAAAGTGCCATCAGGTAAATTTACAAAGAAACTTGCTGGCTCTTGCAAAATTGAGTATTTTGTGAGGTGATAGTACAGTAAGCAGATAAAATAATGCTATTACTTTACTACCTGTGGCTCAGTTTTAGCTAACAAGAAACTGCATCAAAGTAACCAATACCATAGTTGTGACTAAATGCATGTTCCTATGACATCCAATCAACTCAAAATTGGTTAAGTAAAAGAATGGGTCAAACTAGTCATAAAGCATCATATTTGCAAAACTGGAAAATCAATAGAGGAGTGCTATGCTCCATTTTCAGATCTACTTTTATTGCCCCTTTCTATGACATTGGGCAGGTCATTTTCTTAGAGACTTCAGCTATGTCTGTACATTTGGGAAGGAGTATCCCAGATGTGTGAGTACATTGGTTTGAGGAACTCCTGGTGTGTAAATTACCTTCACCATGTAGATCAGCAACTCCTGTAAGTTATAGGTTTAAGAAGTTGCCTGTGGGTGGGGAGGCAGCTAGGTGGTGCAATGGATAGAGCACCGGCCCTGGATTCAGGAAGAACTGAGTTCAAATCCGGCCTCAGACATATAATACTTACTAGCTGCGTGACCCCAGGCAAGTCACTTAACCCCCGCTGCCCAACCAAAAAAAAAAGAAGTTGCTTAGGGCACTGAAATATTAAAGGACCTGTCCATAAGCACACAGCTAGTATATTCACAAGGCAGGACTTGATCCCAGGTCTTACTACTCCTGAGACCAAATCTCAATTTGGTTTTACCTGCTGCCTCTCTGTATCATTACTGTTCATGTAACCAAAGCTACAATATTCAATTACTATGGACTAGCAAGTAATGGAGGGATGGGATAGGGGTAGGGGACAGGGAAGGGAGGCAGTTTGATCTCCCTGATTCTATTGGTAAGATACAAAAATTATTGGAATTACATTGATCCTTACCAAAGGATTATTTGAGCATTAGTCGTTAGGACTAATTAGTCGTTAGGAAGAAAAAGGAAGGACAAACTTTATTAACACGGAATTCATGCAGAGCCAAAACAATGAACTCCTACTGTATATATGCTTGGGAAGATGATGAAGATAATTCAAACTCCTAAAATGCTTTGAAAGAACAACTATCAAATGACCTGAGGTTATTTAGGGAGAAAATGATGAATAACATTGTTTTGGGATACCGGATTTTATTGCTGTTTGTAGTTCCTGCCTTTCCCAGCCTATGCAGTTTCTTGAACTAACTCTATCTTGCAAATGATTTCTACCTGGACTCAATTATATACAACCTTGATTATGTATATATACTTATGTGTGTATTTGGCATTATGCACTGATTTTACTTCATCTGCTTGAGTGTGAATATTATGGAATATTTGTTTTTGCCAAGTGGACCTTCACCTCTAAGCAATGTTCTCTTAGAGAGGAGATCATTATCTTGGGGCAGCAGTGTACGTGCTATTGATATGCATTCATGTGGTGAGAATGGATATGCCTTGTCTAGTGTAGAATTATGTCAAGGGACCAATTCTTTGTCAGTAGAAATGATATTCATGTGCTCTGAAACAATAATGAAATGTAGGTTTCCAATACTGTCAGAATGGAACTAAGTAGTGCCAGGCTTAAGATTTACAAGGCCTGATAAAATTTCCAAGTGCTTTATCTGTTAGGCTAACCTGCCTTGAAATTGTGTGGCTTGGTGTGCACAAAAATAACTTGATAGGTCTTTACTTTATAATGTTAGATAACAAAGTTAAACTCTGTTCCCAAGCTGTTCCCAAACTCTGTTCCCAAGACACATTGGCTCTTTTAAATGTGACCAGGATAACTAAAGTGATTAGTTATGCATTAATGAGTGCTGCATTTCCTTAGGATTACTGATCACCTGGGAACAACTGATAATCTAAGTAAAGAAGCCTAGCCAGTTGTTAATCTGCAAGAAATTCCTTATGTCAAGTCCATCATTGCAACTCTAAACCGAAACTATTGACTACCATTTAGAACTACATGTATTGAGAGGTGATATTGCTAAATTTTATTCTGGTTTCAGTAGGCTGGACACATGACTACTTGGTTATTACTTCACGTGGCTCAAGACTAGTTTAAAGATTAAATTTCCCACCACACAGACTTGACTCAAAAACTGGATTCAAAATACTGGTTAGTATAGGAATTTTTAAAACCTTAGAGAATTTATTTTTGGTTGGCCTTTATAATTATATAAATTGATTTGAATTAATTGCTATGAAAACTTAAAACTTCATGATTTGAACTAGTTTTGGGAATGTGAACTTGGGGAAAACATTGATCTCCACAGGTGCCACTATTTCTATTTCTATAGGGTTTTTTGTTTGTTTTGGTTTGGTTTTGGCAGGGACAGTTATTGCCAGACTGGTAGATCAGGAGAATTCTTTGTTTATGGTTTACTTGATTTTAGCAAAGCATTTGACAAAATTGCTTGTGCTATTCTTGGTAAAGATGGAGACATATGGGCTATCAGTGGTGTCGATATTTCCCAATTACATTCTAGTCTTAGTTTAATCGTAATCTTTAATTTAAATTTGGGCCATGCTGAGGAGTTTGGGGAGCCGAGGGCCATGAGTTTGACACTTTTGAATTGATAGGACAATTAAGTGAATTCAGAACTCATTGAACAGTAGAACATGAAGATTACAATGTGGGCCTAGAAGGAAATCTCTCCTGAAATGTAACAGCCCTAGGTTCTGTATTTGGCCTTATGCTATTTAACAGTTTTATCAGCGCCTTGGCAAAAGGTCTACATGAACTGCCTTTCATATTTACATATGACAAAGAGCTTGAAGTGGCAGCTAACGTGCTAGGTGATAGAGTCAGAATCCAAAAAGATCTCAACAGGGTAGAATGTTGGGTTGAATAAAATATTTAAATTACAAAATTTAATAAGGATAATATTACATCTTATACTTGAGTTTGAAAAATAAATTTCACACATTTGAAATGGGGGAGGTATGGCTAGACCTCCCAGTTCATCTGAAAAGTATTAGAAATTTTAGTGAACTTCAAGCTTAATATGTTTCAGCCCAGAAAGCTAACTCAGTGTTGGGATCCATTAATAGAAATATGGTGTCCAGGTCAAAGAAAGTGACAGTACTGCTTACTGCAATCTGCCCTGATCAGACCACATCTAGATTATTGTGTCCTGTTCTGGGGATTATATTTTAGGAAGGAAATTGATAAACTGGATAATGTCCAAGGAGGGGCAGCTAGGATGGTAAAGTGTTTCAAGATCATGCCATCTGAGAATCCATTGGAAGTGGGGATGTTTAATCCAGTTTAGAGAAGACCTATGATGGGGGGTGGGTGGGAGGTAGCAGGTGGAACAAAACATGAAAGTTTACTTTCAAAGCCATTTATGTGGAAAAGGTCTTAGAGTCATTCTTCTTGATCTAGGAACATTACTAGGAGCAATGGCTGGAAATTGCAAGAGGAAAACTAAGGTTCAATGTAAAGGGGCAGGACAGGGGGGTGGAAACCTTTCTAAAAATTAAAACTACCCAAAGTGGATTAGGCTGTTTTAGGGTATTGTGAGGTAACATCCACTTGGAAGTCTTCAAGCAAACACTTGATGACCACTTCCTAGGTATGTTGTAAAAGGGATTCTTGCTTAGCTATAGTTTATTTAATGATAATCATCTAGTGATGGTCTCTGATATCTTTTCTGTTTCTGAGATTTGAGGATTCTGTTAAATGAGTCACATACTTCCAGATCAACTCATGTCACTCATTCTATGCTCCAAATTCTTCGTCCAGTGTCATCTCCCAGCAAGAAAGACCAGTGGATGGTGGAAACACTATGCCATGCTTTTGATTATGACAACTCTACTGTGTTTAAAATGTACCTAAGCAAATATTATGCACATTGTGAATAATTAATATGGCAGTCTCAGTCCTTTGATACTACTATACCATCATCTGTTCATATGATTTAGTTTGGTTCCTACCCATGTTTCCTAGATGACCTGTCCCCATTTTCTGCTATGGTAACACATCAGGGAGGATGCCCCCCAGATGGTCTAAAGATCCCATGAGAGTTATTACTTCCTGTAATCTTTTATGTCAGATTTCAGGTCCTTCCTGTTGCCATGTTGACACATGAAAGAATTTCCAAAAGGTCTTTGATTATTTTCCTCTAAATATTTACTCAAATAAGTGTGTATTAGTTGTCCGAGGAGGGTATTTATCTGCCTAAGGCATGGTGGAAATTTGAGTAGCTCTGGTCCATTGGAGGCAAATAATTAGGCTCTCACTGGAAAACCTTTTCTTGAATAGGGAGGAGCTTACTCAAAACAAATATTGCATCCTAAGAAACAAGCACTTAACCTAGGGAGACACTACTTATTTGCTCTGAAAATTGTGAGGGTTTTTTTTTAATGTGCCTTGTTTGTGGGTTGTTTTTTAGATGAACTATATTAAAAGTTTACATAGAAGTTTCTTTAAAAAATAACTTTATTACTTAATCATAGATAAACTCTCAAGTCATTCTTTTTTTGCAAGTCTAATAGTGTACTTACAGGGCTAAGTAGGTATGTTATCTAATTATCAATAATTAGCATTATCAATAATAATTTATATAGCATATTTATATAGCATCTTGATATTTGCCTTCCTTCTCATATCTCTTTGAGATAACTAGTAAAAGTACTATTATACCTGTTTCACAAGT